GTAGTGCTGTCACCTCACAGCAAGAAGGTTGCTGGGTCGCTGGTTCGAACCTCAGCTCAGTTGGCGCTTCTGTGTGGAGTTTGCATGTTCTCCCTGCCTTTGCGTGGGTTTCCTCCGGGTGCTCCGGTTTCCCCCACAGTCCAAAGACATGCGGTACAGGTGAATTGGGTAGACTAAATTGTCCATAGTGTATGAGTGTGTGTGTGAATGTTTCCCAGAGATGGGTTGCGGCTGGAAGGGCTTCCGCTGCGTAAAAACTTGCTGGATAAGTTAGCGGTTCATTCCGCTGTGGCGACCCTGGATTAATAAAGGGACTAAGCCGACAAGAAAATGAATGAATGCTTATATTATATGCTTTAGTTAAATAGTGTTACATATTTAAGCAATAATTTAAGCAATATGAGGGGTTTCCTTATTGAGAATACAGGTACAGTGTAAGTAAAAACAGATCCTGCAGTTGTTTTTTGAAGTATTGTTTCACGTTTTTATAAACTTAATTCTTCACAAACTGTAAAAATGTGTTAATTAACAGTTTCCTGCCACTTGCGATTCCAGGAGGTTTTCTGTTTATTTGCACGTTTGTATTGAATTATGGAATCTCGACCTCTGTTCTGATGACTTTTAATGTTAAAAATGTAACTTTGGAGTTTAAAGAGGCTCTTTTATGGGTTGTTGAGAATGACCTTCGTTGTAGTGTGTAACACAGCTCTAAGTGAAATATCCAGCTAAGGCTTAAGTTTGTCGTGTTTAAAACTATTGATTCATCTATAAAAGAGTTGATCCATAGTGCTTAAAATTAATCCTCTTGATAACGAGTCTTTAGCCGTGCTGCCGTGACGTCGATACAGAACTTAAGCCCCACCCATTTGTTGTGCAAGCAAACCCGGGAAAATTTAAAGCCCCGACCCCGCCCACAAACACTGTAGAAAAAAAAGAAGAACAACAACACTGTAGCAGATCCCGGTTAAATCATGTCACGAGGACGCTGTGCTCTGAGGTCTAAGGGGAAAGTTAGTGTTATTTTCCCTACCCAAAAATGAGACTGTGAAGAGTCAGTGGTTGAGGTTTATTTTAGCAAAAAATACCTCACGGGGTGGGGGGTTGAAATTATGGGAGTTTTCCGGGAGAAACAACAAAACTGGAGGGTGGCAGGAGATGGGTATGAAATAAGGGAGCCTATGGGGACTCGCGCTGAACGCAGTCGACCAATTACAACAGACTGAGTCATCAGACCAGTCAGTGCAGATTAGCATCGCGCTAAGGAGAGGTTTGGGAACAAATAAATCGCTGAACGAATCATATGGGAGTCGCAGGGATAGTTAGGTAAAAATAAATGCATATTATAAGACAATGAAAGTGTTTTTTTGACCTTGTATGCATATCAGTCTGTTGTTGAAGACCCCAAAACAAAAATATAACCATTTTAATGCATAATAGGGGCTCTTTAAATACTTTGTCATTCGTCCGGATATTTTGCCTGTTTGTATCAGCGTCGACACAAAACAATAGCAAAACTGGTAAAAAATGAACGCCTTTCCCTTCAAACACTAGCGCAGGTATATGTGGGACTGATCATGACTGAAAATGAGTGAACACTTTATATTCCCATATCACGTCTAAAGCCATGTTGAAAACGTGACTTATGCCGCTTTTTCAATTTAAATGTGTTTGTGAACTTGCAATCCTCTGCCGTTTGTTATTGCTATGACCACCAGCATCTGTTTACACATGCAGCGGTCAAGTTTCAAAATAGTACAGCTTTTGCCACTGTGCGGATTAATACTGAATGTGTGTCACTGTTTTTATTTATAGTTAAAAATAGAGCAATATGCTGGTGTTAAACAGCACTGTTTTGATGCACTCCTGCATTGGGCTCACACATACACTTTGACTACTTCAACAATGTTAATAAGCTGGGTTTGGCATTTCTCTCTGTCTTGCGCTGATCGCAGTCGATCAATTACATCAGACTGGACCATCAGACCAATCAGCGCAGAAATTGGCATCGCGCTAAGGAGGGGTTTGGGAACAAATAAATAGCTGAACGAATCATATGTGAGTCACTGGGATAATAAGGTAAATGTAAATGCATATTTGAAGACAACTAAAGTGGTTTTTGACCTTGCATGCATATCAACCTGTTGTTGGAGACCCCGAAAACCAAAATATGACCTTTTAAATAAATAATAGTTGATAAAGTTATTTTATTGACATTTTGGTCGTTTTTAAACAATATATTGTATAAGAAATAATACACAGCTATGACAAGTATTAGTTTTTGAATAAAAAACTAATGTAAAATGTTTTGTATAGTCCTTTAATGTACTATGGATTGATCAGCATGTGTCTGTTTTGTTGTGTGCATTATTAACAGTCAGGAGAGTCATAATAAAGTGCTGCCGCATACGTTTCTAAATTTAAATTAACCTTGCTTTTTCATTTTTTAATGAGTTGCCCAAAAGGAAGCATATAGATAATAAACAGTATGGGACCTAAGACAGCTCCCTGAGGAACACAATGGCAGACCTGTCCAATTTCATTGTTAAAAATGTAACTGAGCTTTTTTTTAGTAGTTTGAAACAATAAAATGTATAAGAAATAATACTTAGCTCTGGCGAATATTGGTCATTTAGAGTAAAACATCATTTTTAAAAAAATTCTGTGCACTTCAAACAAATGTAAAGATTTTTGTATAGTCCTTTATAAAGTAATATATTGTAAATAAAATACCGCTATTGAGCAATCAGCAAGTGTCTGTTTTAATCTGTGCAATATTAACCGCCAGTAAAGTTAATATAAAGCGCTGCAGCATGACTCAACTCTAGATCAGCCTCAGTGGGATGGGTCAATTTCTGAATGGGCAGAGATGAGAATGACCTCAGAGGAGTTACTGGTGTAGAAACACTGCCAGCAGTTGTAGTGAACACCACCCATCATTACAGGCTCCAGCATTCCCCTCTATCACTTATTGGAAGATCCTCTGGTGCCAGATGAACACCTGTGTTTTGGATAAACGTCATGTCTTTGATGATATTTAAACGCATTTATAGTTGTTTTAAACCTCAAACCCCATGTGCAAATAATTCAGGCCGCACCACTTGATGTACATAAATTACTCAATCTTTCAATTAAATGACAAAAATTACAACATTAATATGTTTTGATAAGCTGGCTGTTAAGTTTGACAGATCATTTGTTTTTAAATTCTATATATTTTTTATAAACGAAAAGTAAAGTCTAGGCTGTGTTTACACTAGTGCGTTTTTATTTTAAAAATAGTATTTCAGAATAAAAGCTTTGTTCATCCAGACTGACGTATTTTTAATATGTTTCAGAAAAACAATCTTCGTCCACACTATACAGCATTTGTGACCATTAGAGCTTAATGAGCATTTGCATATTTGGCCAGCATTTGTATTTACTGCCTACCGGTTGTGTAATAGCAAAGACTATAGAATACACAAGACATGTCACTCGTATAGTTTTGAATGGGGAAAAATGTAATGGTCAATATGGCGAATGAAGACCCCCCTCCTAATAATACAGGAGCCAATCATTGATCGCTATAGATTGATGTTTATCCGGGGAGAAGATCAGATCAGAGATGTTAAGACAGTTTGGCGGTCAACAAACGCACTGAAATCTCAGTGAATACTTGCTTTACAGACATAAGAATATATCCACATAAAGTATGAAATCTGTCCTTTTAAATAAACCAAGTACAATTGAAAATAAAAGTTTCTGGTTTTGTAATCTGTATGAAATGTATTTGAGGTAGAGTCTGTCCTGTCAAATGCACATCACATGACAGCAGTACTCAAACACCCCACAAACTAGTAAACAAAGAGTCGCTGTCATTTCTGGAGGAGATTCACCATCCAGAACAGGTTGTGAAATACTTCAGAAAAGCAGCGCGATCTGATGAAGCATTATCCAGAGGATGATAATGTGTAAAACGGCTATAAAGTAGGTTGGTTTCGTGATCTTGTTCCTTTCGAGTGCAAATGCGGATTAGCTCGGGTAACCTGAAAACACTCCGAATTTGTTTGATTCGGACATTTAGAAAGGAAACTTATGAGACGGTTGTTGTTTGATTTTATTGGTGATTCCAAGTATTTAATCGTAAGCTTGGCAAACAGATTTTGGAGTGTTTCCCCATTCAGACAGAATGCCCGAGCATACTGCTCAAGAGGCGTTTTAAAAATAGCCGCAGTGTAAAATGACTTGCCTTAAAGGGACTTTGGTAATAGTCACATGAGAGGGGCTTGACAAATCAAATCAGAGAATGATATGCAATAGCTCAGACCAGTTAGGGAGTCATTGTGGATAGTCCTTCCTCCACTTTCCAAAAGTCTGCATTTCAGTTTGCCTAAACTAAAACACCTTGTTAAAAAAAAAAAAAAAAAAAAAAAATATTGAATTTTTTTAATAAAATCATTATCTGTTATGACTTTTTGTTATATTATTTTTTACAGTGTATTTTGACTCTTGATATCAGTACACTTCTTTAACCACCTGAACCAAGAGGCACTTTTTATCATGAATAAATGGATGTGTTTTATTGGACTCTAAAATCAGCCAGCCATTGTCAATGAAAAGAAAATTGTAAAAAATCACTTTGGTTAGTTATGACCAGAAAAATAAACTCATTTACAGCTAGAATGACTTGAGGGTAAGTTACACACAGGAATTTTTATGTGAATTTTTTTAAGTGACAATTTTTGGGTGAACTAACCCTTTAAATCTCTGTAAAACCCCCCAAAAAGGTTGTGCAATTAAATACTCAAACAGTGTGTCAAACACCAACAACTTTACCATGTTTAAAATAATCTTTCTTTTCCATCACGATGCTCAGTTTAAACTTCGGCAGTTTGTTTTGACCACTTCTGTGTGCTAAAATTTATTAAAGGGACAATTCAGCCAAAAATAATAAAGTGGTTCCAAACATTTATGAAACTCTTTCTTCTGTTGAACATAAAAGAAGATATTTGAATAAAGCTGAAAACCTGTAACCATTGACATCTATAGCAGGAATACAAATACTATGGAAATCAATGGTTACAGGTTTCCAATATTTTCCAAAGTAACTTCTTTTATGTTCTAGTGAAGGTACAAGATTGTGACAATTAAAGGTGGAGCGCAGGATTATAGATTTTTTAAGCTTTGGGTGAACTATCCCTTTAAGTTGCTGCCATGTGATTGGCTGATTAGATATTTGCATCCCAGGACTACCTAATAAAGTGGCCGGTAAGTGCATAATCATAATTTAAAAGTTGAAAATAAACCACAGACGGAATAATCTTGCATTTTGTGTATGTGCGTTGGTGCATGGGAAAGGAGTTTAAGTGGACTTCTCTCTGGGTGCGTCTTTGGCTTGACAGCTGAGGGTGTGAGCGTGTTGTCACATCTGTAGGTTGTCAGTGGCGGCTGAAATGGTGAAATCACAGATCCCGTCCATGATGTAGGTCTCAGAGGTGACAAGCCAGCAGAGCGATCTCAATGTGACTGATGTAAGACTTTCATTAGTCTGCAGCGTCGAGAACTGAGCCGTCGGAGCAGATCCCACACTTAGGGGAGAAGACATTCGGACGGATGAAACAAAGCCAGTTTTCCATCGAGTGTTCCAGTCAACAGCTGTGAACAAAACAACAAAAGAAGACTTCACTCGTGAAACATCCTGTCGCAGCGTCAATAAATTCACAATACAACTGTCTACTCTTTCTATGAAGGCTTGGAGGATTCAACTTAAGTCCTTGTTTGCAGTTATTACTTCCAAAAGTGAAGTTTCACATGATCAATTGTAATCGAATATCCCAAATATGAATATAAAATATACAAATATAAGCCGCAGACAAAACAGAAACATTACATTTCATAACAACACATCTGCCATCTTAATGATGGGGTAAAAGGCTTGATGGTTTTCATTTATTTATATTTGCCAATAAAAATGTTCTGAAACTTTTATGTCCCGTAACTTTGATTTGTGCTCTCCTGAAGGCAATTAGCCAATTTAGTTTTGAAAGCCTATTTAGTAGTTTGTTTACTGAAATCCAACCAGATTTGGGTTTTCCGTTGACTCTAAATATCTTTTTAGGTTTTGACAAATGAAAATCAGAAGAGAAGCCTCTTAAGTGTGTTGTGACACGAAGGGCAAGGGATTTAAGCAGCACATGTTGTCTGGAGGGTTATGAACTTGGGGTAACAGGAATGAGATCATCAGTTTGTCATAGGTGGAAATTGTCCAGCCAGGTTTTAAAGAGTGTCATGAAACCATTTTGGCAGTGGTTTGGAGCCGATTCTGAGCTGAGATTGTCACATACCTGCCTTTACAGACACAGTAAAGTCATTTGAAAGGCCATATGAAGATATCTTTTGGCTTACATTATCTGGCCTGTTGAAAAAATATTGTTAGTTTCAAACTTTTACAGTGTCATCCGCATTTGATTTGAGAGATATTTGAGTTATAGCATTTCAAACAGCATTGTTTTTGATAGTGCAGTACAACATTGAAATCCATGAAGCACAATATTTGTCCAATTAATGACAGCCTAGTTCATAACAGGGGTTTTCAATCTTTCGCACTTTAGGGCCCACTTCTTTCTCCGATCAATTTTTGAAGGCACACCTGTCTGAAATTTTCTCTAAAATCATTGTATGAAATGCTAATCAAAACCTTTATTTATTATGAATAACAACAACAATGATAATAATAATATAATAATATAATATATTAATATAAATATAATAATAATAATAATAAATAATTATATATGTTGTGCCTTCTATTAGCATTTTATAAAAATATATATTATTTTATTTAAATTTAATTATATATATATATATATATATATATATATATATATATATATATATATATATATATAAAATTATATATAATTATATATAAAACAAACAAAAAATACAGAATGACTGAATATGTACTATTAAATATCTACTATTCACAAATATACAGACAAATGTAAAATACAGTAAAACACCCTAAATCTGTTGAAAAGTGTCGATCTGATGGGGGTTAAGTTTGAAGCTGGATATTATTGGGAGATCACTGAAAGGAACAGTGAACAGAGCACGTCTAAAGCTCATATGCAAGTTTATTTTACATTCTGTGGCAGAAACACCATTGAGCCTCGCTATATCCTCCTGTGTGGACGCACATCCATTATAAAACTCTCACAGGACATTCATTTGGACAACTATGCAGATATATTAAATAGTTACACAATAACTATAAAAAATACACAAACAGACACTTTCACTTTTGTAGTTTGTGAATGAACCGACTTATGTGTACTAGTCGCAGACACGTTCATGAGGCTGTTTTTGTGCCGAGTTTGAAGGAATCAGTTAGAAAACAGGAGAAAGTGCATTACTTTGATCATTCTAATATAGCATATTAATGCTGAAATCCAAAAATTACAGTATAATATTCTCGCAGCCCACCTGCTGGATCGCTGAGGCCTACCAGTTGAGAATCCCTGATTTAGAACATGTTTGCATCCATGTTAAACTGACACTTCAAAAAGTAAACACAAGTACACGCAATTCTCAAAGAACTCAGCATATTACCCATGTTATTAAATGTTTAGCAAATAAATTAACATCAGAAAAATTCTGGGTATACTGAACTCTTTAAAGACTGAACTATTGACTGTTCCTCTATAAACATATATATAATTTTTCAAATGTCCAGCTTTACAATGAAGGTGGAAAAAATCAGATCTTCTACCTCAAATATAACAAATATTTAGAGCAACTCTAAGTATGAATAAAAAAAGATTACAATAAAATATTTTTGCACACCTATACTTGACTGAAATAAATGTACTATTTCAAGAAATTTGGCTTAAAATACCTCCTTTGTAATGTCTTGATTACACATGTTAGTTTTTGCTTTATGTTTAAATGAATTTGTGTTCAGGTAATAGAATGAATTAAGTGCAAACAACTGTATAGCTACTTTAATGGTTTGAGGAAACCAACTGCAGCAAATCACACTGTAAAACCCAAAAAGTTAAGGTGACTCGAACCATTTGAGAAAACTGATTGCAACAAACCATTTAAGTTCAAAAACGAATCCTAATGAGCACTGTGAACTTAATCTATTTGAGTAAACAAAGCAATTTGAGCACAGTAAAACCTAATAAATGACGAGAACTTAAACCAACTGAGTACTGTAAAACCCAATAAGTTAAGGCAACTCAAACCGTTTGAGGAAACCGATGGTACTGTGAACTTACTCCATTTAAGTTAAAGTAATAGGGTATTAATAATTAAGTCATTACCTTCAGCAGGGAGTTCAAAACTCTTTTCAAATGAGCAGAATTAACTTTCAGTCACATTTGAGTTAACTAGACTCATTTCATTTGATAAAGTTGACTGTTGGGTTTTACAGTATTAAATTGACAAATTTTATTCAATTGAGTTTAATCAACTTAAACCATTTGCTACAATCGATTTCCTAAAACCATTTGAGTAGCTACAGTTGTTTGACCTAAATCGTTTAAGTTAATTGAACTCAAACATTTTAAGTTCAGTTATTAAATTTGTTTAAGTAACTAATATTCTATACATGTTTGACAATATAAACACATTTAATATAAGTACATATGATTTAATATATATACATTTACAGTACTTAAACCATTTAGTTTCAAAGCTTAAATGGTTTGCCGCAATCGGTTTCCTCAAACAGTTTAAGTTAACTTATCAGATTTAGCAGTGAATATATTTTAGGACTGCATTCATAAGAGTATAAGTATTACAATTCAAAATAACAGACTTCCAAGTGGCTTTTAAATGTTTTTTGGCTCTCATTTGTCCTGTTGAAAAAAAATCAATTAAACAAACTAAATGATATATAAAAACATTCAAATGTGAATCTAAAAAGATCCACAAAAATATGATTGTTTATTTAGGAAGACAGTTTAATATTCCAATAATAAAAAATAAAAAAAAACTTGGATGAGATGCACACGTCTTGTGTGGAAGAAAAAGTGGAAAGAAGAACTTTCCATCATAATATCAACATAAAAAATAATGAGTTATTATAGGGAAGAACTCTCCATCTCATCGTCATCCTCTTCTCATTGAGCATTTCATTCTTTAGTCTAAATGGCTTTACAAGCAACTTGACAATAAATCAGAATTCAAAATATGCTCCTTTCTGACGCAGGTTTCATAACCTGATTTAGTGCAGGGCTCACTGGCTGAAGGCTGAGGAAGGAAGAAAAACAAATCAAGAGTTCAAAAAGAAATCTGACGGATACATAACTTGCAGACATGTTTACATGTTTGTTTTTAGCTCATGGGGGATCATTTTATATTTTTAGAAAAGCCTCTTTAGGTTATAAAGCTTTTAGTCAGGATATGCTTGCAGTGACCCAAGAAATCTAGGATTGGACTGCCAGATACAATAAGAACAATAAATAAACAATATAAAAAGTGAAGTATATATTAATGAATATAAAGTTAAATTAATACACAAGAGAGGAATAAAACACTATGACATTTCAAAAGAATCCTCTCCATCCATTTTTAAAGAAACATGTCACCTTTTACAACTCCTAAGAGTTAAACAGTTGAGTTTTATCATATTTTAATCCAGTCAGCTGATCTGCAGGTCTGGCAGGAGTACTTTTATCTTACTTAGCTTATCATAGATCATTAAATCAGATTAGGCCAATAGCATATCAAAAAAATCGTTTTTTGAAAAAAGTTTTGATCATTTTCCTATTTAAACTTGACTCTTCTGTAGTAAAATTTTGTACTAAAACTGAAAGAAAATGAAAGGTTGCTATTTTATAGGTCGATAAGCAAGTAACTTTATTGCCATACCACGGCTGCAGAAGGCACAAACATATGAAATTATTGAAACGTTTTGGTAATTTTTGAGTAAGATGCTAATGTTCTAATCCGATTCAATGGTTTATGATAAGCTATAAGTGTTAAAAGGAGAAATGCAAAAAAGTTTATTTTCCAAAAAACTAGCGTGTTCCATTAAAAAAATATATTATTTTCATTAAAATCCCATTTAAATCCCAGATTACCCTGAAATCAGAGAAAATCCTCCTTTAAGGAACCATGATGATGCGATTTTAAAGACTCAATTGCTCAATTTAATTGCTCAGTCGCTCTAAAGCTGTCCTCCAAAAAGTTATTAGAAATATGGGAACACATAAAATGACAAAAACCTTTTTGTGCCAAATAACGGCCTGGTGTAACAGTCTGAACTGCTCTAAATGATCTGCATTGAGGAATACAACTGGCTGGTGCCAGCATACAGATGGGTGTCTCCAAAAAAAAAAAAAAAAAAAAGACTAGACTTTCAGAGGGAAAAGCTGAGAGCAGAGACAAAGCAAACTGACAGTGCCACTGACACTGCCCAAAGCCACAAGACTTATACAAGCCGGAAAATATGCCATCCCGCTGAGCCCCAACTCTTATTTTACAATGATATTAGCTTCCCACTAAGCAAAACTGGGTGAGAGAATATATTTAGTAAGCTTGACCACTCACTGCTTCTGTACAATTTACAACTGTAAATCAAGCTGGTTTTAATCTATGCCTCCAACGTCAGGCCCACAGACTGAGCCTCACATGCATTTGGCACA